GGGGGGGGCAAAAAATATGTTTTTAATGCTTTTTTCCAAGGTTTGGGGTCTGCAGACAAGGAGCGCAGCGGCTGCAGCGATGCCCGGCGGGGCAACTGGGAGGACCGGGAAGTGGCTGGGAAAGAGGCGGGGCAAAAGCTGCCCCCCCCGCCCCCCCCCCGCTGTGAAACGGGGGCCGCGGGGTAACGAGGAGCGCGCCCCGCCCCGCGCCGGCTCCGCCAGCCGCTTGGGGGGGCGGCAAACAAGGGAAAACGGCCCGGAAAACGGCAGCGGATCCCGAATTCCTGTGGTCTGACGTCGGCCACCCACCCGCAGGGGGGAAACTGAGGCCCGCCCCCCCGCCGCCGGGGGCTGTGGGGTCGGGGGCTCATGTGGGTGCTGGGTCCCCGCTGCTCGGCCCCATTGGCGGCTGTGGCGGGGGGCGATCGGGGTCGGGGTCCTTGCTATGGGCTGGTGTCGCGGGGTGGGAAGGAGAAAAACAAAACGCAGCCCCCAGGCCGCCCTCGAGAGCGACCCAAACAAGCCGCGGCGGCGGAATCGGCGCTGAATAAATAGCCGGGGGCGGCGCCGGTTCCCCCCGTTAACCCCTCGCTGCCCGGTTAACGAGCAGCAGCCGCCGCCGCCGCGCGGGGTTTATTGCGGCCGCCGCGGGGACTCGGCTTCCGTCGAGGGCCCCGGCGTCCGGGAGCGGTTGGCGCGGGGGGGAAATGGGGCACCGGGGTCCCCCCTGCTGCAGCTCCCACCGTTAAATCCGCTTTAAAGCCACGCAGAAAGCGGGAGGGGGAGGCAAATTTAGGGCTGGACCCCCCCCCCGGCACTATGAGGGACGCTCACAGCCCCCCCCGCGGACCAGAGCGGGGTTGTGCCACCCCCTCAGGTGCCACCGCGTGTCCCCAGCGCGGGGCCAGCACGACCCGGGCACGGCGGCGGCGACGGGGCACAGCTGGGGACGGGGGGCACAGCTGGGGACGGGGGGCACGGCTGGGAATGGGGGGGCACAGCTGGAGGGGGAGGCGCGTATCGGGGGTGGAGGAGGGGGCATATCTAGGGGTGGGGGCACATCTGGGGATACAGGGGGGCACATCTGGGGACGGAGGGGGGAAGGTGGAACGGGAGAGGGTCAACGGGGGAGGAAGGAGCGCAGAGGGGGAAAGGGGCAGAGCTAAAGGGAGAGGGGGAGCGGGCGAGGACGGAGCACCGCGGGGGGGGGCAACATCTGGGGAGCCCCACAGCTGGCTCCGGGTGGGGGTGGGGGGCTTCGCGGGGACCTACTGCCCCCTAGTGGCCACAGGGGGGTGCAGCGCGACCCCCCCCACACCCCCAGGTGGGTAAACTGAGGCCCGAAGGCAAACACCACCCATCCACAGCCCCACCAACCCTCCACCCCACGAGGTCATCCCCAGCCGTGCGCGGCCACAGGGACGAGGAGGAGGAGGCAGGATAACCCTGCTGGATGCAGCCAGCGCGGGGACAAGGCCGGGGATGGGGAGCCCGTGCCAGGGGCGGGGGGAGGCGCTGGGCGCTGCGCAGGGTGGGGACGGCGTCAGCGGGCAAAGAGCAGCCGGGTGCGGTGCCGACGTCAGGGCCCCGGCGCCCGGGGCACTCGCCCGCGGGGACAGCGCAGCGGCAGCGCCCGGCCTCCGGCACCCGGGTGAGCCCGAAAGAGGGGCCCTATCTCGGCAGGGGGGCACCCCATGGCGGGTGTCCCTGGTGGGTGACTCGGTGCCCGAGCCTGGGTGCAATTCCAGGGGTGGCAGGAGGGTGCGGGAGGCCCCTGAGGAGGTTGGGATGTGCTGGGTGCCCTTGGGGAGGCTGTGGGCACCGGGAGGAGACCAGCCAGGAGGGCGGGTGACACCAGGACGTGGGGACTGTGTGTGCCCAGGACCACGTAAGCAGAGGGGGGGCTCAGCCCAGCGCCAGGGCCCACCCGGGGTGCCCTTCCAGGTGCTGAAGCGGGCGCGGGCAGCCCTGGCACGGCCCTGTTCCCGCCCAGGAAGCGGTGACGCTGTGTCCCCGTCACCCGGGCGCAAGGGCCAGGTGAGGGGGTGCCCAGACCCCCCCCCTTTACCCTTTTTTGCATGTGCCCAGCCCACGCCCTGCGGAACCCTGCCCGAGCTGCAGGTGTTCATGCGGACGGCCCGTGCACCCATAGGTGCCACCTGCCCTGTCCCCGCAGCCGCCCTCCCACCCCCAGCAGGATGGCAGAGCCCTGGGGACGCTGGAGCAGCCCCGCACCCCGGTGAGTACCCGGCGCTGGGGAGTGCTGGGGTGAGGAGGCTGCGTACGAGCCCTTCGAGACTCCCGCAGGGTACGGGGTGGGGGCGCTCACCCCCGTCCGTCTGTCCGTCCATCCCGCAGCGATGCCGGCCGCGCCAGCCCCGAGCTCCAGCTCTCCCACGGCTCCAGCCGGCCCAGCGGGAAAGCCATTTACGGTGGGTGGCGGCGGTGCCCCTCACCCTGGCACCCGGCCTGCGCCCCCCTCCCCAAATAACCCCCTCTCTCCCGCCTCCCCTGCAGCCCAGCGCAGGGACTATGCGCAGAGCCTGCTGCAGCAGGACACCTTCCAGCACCACGTGGAGGTAGGAGCCCCCCCGGCCGCCCAGCACCCATGGGTGCCACGTGCCCCCAGCACCCATGGGTGCCCCCGTCCCCCCCCGCAGCACCTGCTCACCGTGCGCCTGGAGCGCGACGTGCGCAGCGTCCAGGACTGCGTCGCCCGCCTGAAGGCGCTTGATGCCCAGGGCCGCCTCTGGGGCCAGGGCCTCGTCCTGCACGTCCAGGAGCAGGCGCTGGTGCTGAGCGACGCCGAGAGCAAGGTGCCCCCGCGCCCGCACCCCCGGCGGCGGCGGCGGTGGTGGCGGTGGTGGTGATGATGATAATGATGATGATGCAGCATCCTGGCGGGTGGAGGGCAACCGGGAGCTGCCCGGAGCTCCCCCTCGGAGCTGCCACCCACCCTGGTCCTGGCACCCCCCTAACCCGCATACCCCCCAAGCCATGGTGACCCCTCAGACCCCTCTATCCTGATACCCCCCCAAGCCATGGCACCCCCCTTAGCACCCCCTAACGCCGGTACCCCCAGCCCTGCCCCYATCTGGGTTCTGGGAGCCCCCAAGCCCTTGCAGCCACCACCCAGACCCCATCTCTAACCCTCATACCCCCCCAACAGCACCCTCCATAACCCCCTTAACCCTGTCCCCCCCGGCTATGACATCCCCTTGAGCACCCCCTTAACCCTGACACCCCCATAGCACCCCCTTAACCCTAACACCACCTCCATAGCACCCCCCATAGCACCCTGACCCCGCACCTTAATCCTGGCACCCATCCTCACCTTGCCACCCCCACCTCAACCTTATCACCCCCCATAACCCCGATACCCCCCAAGCCCCTGGTCTGTCCCCCCAAGGCAGAGGGGTGTGTGKGGGGGGGCTCATGGCCGCGGTGCCCCCAGGAGGAGCTGGAGCGGTTCCCGCTGGGCGCCGTGCAGGAGTGCTCGGCGCCGGGCGACGCGGAGGACGCGCTGCTGGCGCTGCGCGTGCAGGAGCGCGCCGGCCCCGCCGTGCTGCTCTTCCAGTGCCAGGAGCCGGGGGTGAGCGGGGCGCCCRGGGGGGCTGCGGAAGGGGCCGGGGGGGCACCCGCTGGGTGCTCATGCACCTGCCCGCCCCGCTGCGCCCCAGGCCGCCGTGCTCAAGAGCAGCCTGGAGCGGCTGCTCAGGCAGAGCCAGGAGGAGCAGAGGAGCCAGGACAGCTACAGGTAAAGGGSGCCCCACCGAGTCCCCCCCCCGGGGGGGTATGGATGGACCCCCCGCTCCTAGCGTCTCCCAACCCCCTCGTGCCGAGAGCCCCTGCCAGCCCACGGAGCCCTCGTTGCCCCACGGAGCCCTCGTCGCCCCATGGAGCCCCTGACACCCCATGGAGCCCCTGACACCCCACGGAGCCCTCATCACCCCCATGGAGCCCTTGTCACCCCACGGAGCCCCTGACACCCCACGGAGCCCTTGTCACCCCATTGAGCCCTTGTCACCACCTCACGGAGCCCGTGTCACCACCCCACGGTGCCCCGCACCCATGGGCACAGACCCCCTCGCATGTCCCCGATCCCTCCATCCCGCCCCGCCAGCCACGGGCACAGACCCCGCCCTCCATGGCACCCTCATCTCA